TACCTGCCTTAAGTTGAGAACGCAGAATGATGTTCTCACACCCTCTTCGATAAGGAATTAGTCGTTTGATCTGCATATCCCGCGTTTGATGAGACATTGAAGGTGTATTGAGGAAGTCTGAGAAGGCAGCCTATCTCTACCTTCGAGGCGAAAACGCCGTTGACTTCGAACATTAACCTTATCTAAGCTGTGGAACACACGTGCTCAGTAGCAGACTTAAATCGACGAGTTCATTGACTGGGCGTCCTCGAAACGGCAACATACTCGGTTATCCCCCTCTCAATTATTTTAGATGGAATTGATTAACTTTTTGAAAACTATCTTGGTCGTTTCTTTGAGATAAATTATCTCATTGCAGACACAAGCAAAGAGACAAATTTGGGGAGACTGTTTAGAAAAAATGGTGCGATTATTCAGACAGTCACTTTAGTTACCTGACATTTCGCATACTAACTCGAATGTATCGTCTTTCGAGGGAACGCAGTACACCTTTAACTTCGGCGAGGTCGAAATTTTCGCGAGGGAGGGGAAAAACCGCATGTGTCTTGAGCTTCTTGAGTCATGGTTCTCCGTCCCACAGGCGACTAAATAAACGCGGTGCTCCTCCTTCCCTTCATATAAAGTGTTACAACACTGCCTGAGCAGAGAACTTGGCCACCCGGGGGAGGGCACGTGCGAATAGTACTTCCAGTAACAGTACCAACGAGTCAAATTGTCGAGTCATTAGCGTGCACGTAATTAGAACGGGTGATGTCTACGTTGTCGACGCGCAGGTAATCATCACACTAAATGCGACCATCGGTGATGAGTGTGGAGCTGCTAATTATGGTAGGCTTGTGGTCGCATGTCAACTGAATCCCATAAACACTGTGCCTCCTCCCCTTGTAAGCCTAGCAGCCATATCTACGACTGCCTCTGCTTATGGGCTCAAGTGTGAGTCCGAAACGTCAGCTCCTCCTTCTCAACGCAGATGAAAATTGTCTGTTACGATCATTGGATCTTATCCGCACAACAGCCGAGCGGGAACTTGGAAAATGCCGGAATATGCCGGCTTTTGGAAAAACATCCTAATAGCACCCAGTATTCAAAGGAATGCTCACGTACTGCGCATCTCGGTTCGAACCCGCATCTACGGAAGTTTATCAGGCCAGTAACTCGTCAAATGTGAAATGAAGTTTGTTTCGATTTCGCAAACTATGCGACATGTCTGACATTACCGAATACAAGCATGAGTTTGTTCTGCTTTTTTTCCATTAAAAGCGCCTCTCCGAATAAACATAGGCTTGACTCGTGAGGCTGAAACAGGGGAATATGGATTAATTCGATCGGCTGGCTGGCGTAACGGCGATAACTCAGATTCCGCGCGTCTATGGGGAGGGGGCGACATGGAGCCTTTGGCGGTTCCACTGCGCTGCACAACAAATGTCTCATGACTGGCTGGGGTTTGTTTACTTCAGGTGGGGCTTCAAAAAAACATCTGACTGAGGGGCGCTCACCGATCGAGCTACGGAACTCACTCGTCGCGTAGTACCTTGGGGTTATCTCTCGAGACCAACCAGCGACATCTGCCACTCTATATGCCAGATAGCAACCGACAGGACAACGAGCCGATGGTTCAGTGGTTTAGGGCGTTGCACTTCTAGTCAAACGGGTCGCGGGATCGAGCCCCAGGTGTTTTACACTTCAAGGTTGGGTATGACTGATTGACGACGGCTAATGAGATAGAAACGGTCACTCCAGTCTCTCTTATCTTTGTCGGCCCCACCTGTGAAAACCCAAATTACCACCGGTCCCGTATTACAGGTGACTGAGGTTTGTTTACCTCAGGTGCGGCCATATAACCACATCTGACCAAAATGTCTCCTGATTGCCCGAACTCCTGACTTCCCAGAGTCTGTATTGATAAAATGTTTTTGGTTTCAGGGTACGTATGTGCACTCTCATGTTGATCTTGGCATTTTGGATAACCCTCCTGCACACTCTGCGCCTTTATATACACAGAATCCCGTGCAGTCTATTTGTTGCTGATTCCCAGATGTGAAAAAGTCGATAAAAAAAGTGTACCCGCAGACGGATGAGATCCCCCTACTCAGCAGCACACAGTCTCAGTTGTCAATGACATTAGTCCCGCCACATCTCGCACGTTTCAAACTAAACGTCCGGTGGTCCCCGGGGTCCTTGGACATTGATCTGTACTGTGAGACCGAGGGTTCTGTTCTGAGGTATTCCAACTGATTTACGCCCAACAAGGGAAAAGTTGAGACGGTTAGATGCGCAACACTTGCGCTTTCGTGTTCCTCGAGTTTTCTATGTTGTCGCCACCTTTTCACTGATCGAAATTAATTATGGCGATCTCAGGAGGAGAGGACTGGTTGAGTGAGGCACACAGTTACTTGCCAGAGGACACGAAATGCTGTCCGTTCATACACAACAGCATGACAGATTTTAATTGACGACGCCTATAAACATGTATGAAAATGAAAAATAGAAGAGGTTCTTTGGAAAAGTCGAGTTTTACTCGTGAATTTTCGAGCTGGTGACACCAACTCGTCATCAGACGAAACGAGAACAAGGGAGAAAATTGGGTTGTCACAGTGGACCGGTTGGTGTGATAGGACAGACAGACCACTGACGTGTGAGGAACAGGCTCCCGATGTCATGTTAGGTCGCTGAGTTAGGGGGGAAGGGAGAGGAGGCGGAACAACCACGGCACATTGTGCTGAAGGGGGAGGGTGAGTGGGGAATCATTTGGACTGCGGGCGGCCGTATTCGAGGCCGTTGATGCGTGATTAGGGCAGGGGGTAGTCACTCGTGAACGTAGACCCTCGTATTGGGCATCTAAGTCAACGTGACGGCTGATACAATCCACATTTGAGTACCAAGCCTCGAGAACTCCCTCGCTCGCTTTGTGTTAGCCATGGCGACGACCTCACTGCCATCCCAACTGAATCGGTGGTCATACTCGAGTGCATGTGTAAAGACAAGGGACAGGGGGTCTCACTGACGGATAGCTTATTTTTGCTTATTGATACGGGTGCCCAGACGTCGACCTGTATGGCCAACATACACGGAAGAGCAATTAGCGTACGGGATGCGATAAATCACATTCATTTGCTGCTCTTTGGGGATGGAATCCTTCACTCAAGATAGCGCTTCGCGTAATTAAGATGCCGGTTTGTGGACAACTTGAATACCCAAGCGGTTGAACTGTCGAGCGATTATTTCATATATGGCAAGGAGTAGAATTTTCGTGTCACAATCTGTCTGCTGGGGGTGGAGTCCTGCGACTGTGTCTGGTGCATGAGGCAATTCTTTAAAAAACTGATCGGCTATTCGTTAGAGCGAAATAACCGATGCTGGTGAGCAAGCTCTTTGTTCAGGAGATCGATGCTGTTACAATAACGGTAGGTCCGGTGGAGCAGAGTTCGGACGCCGTTTCTTTTGTGAGCTGCAGGGTGGTTGCTTCCATAGTTGAGGATAATCTTAGAATTAGAGTCTTTCCTATGGACGCATGTTGCTAGGCTACCATCGCTCAGCTTCTGTATCCTCACGTCCAGAAACGGCAAGCTGTCTCCAATTGCCTCTTCGCGGGTACACTGTATGGCCGGGAAGACGTCAATAAATCTGTAATGAAAATTACAATTTGCAGCCTAGTTTACGAAGTACAGGCCGAAATTCCGAGAAATGCTTTCGGTTGGAAAGCATCATTTAGATAGGATTGTAATTTTAATTATTGTACAGCATAATCCCCATTATAAACTAGCCTCAGGCGTATGACTTTTTAAATGCATATCTTTCCAAACGACTGCAAAGATCACACCCAATAAAAATGTCGCCTTTATTACCATGCATTTTTTATTGATTTCCGATGTCCTTAAAAATTAATGCAATATTTTATATGAGGCATGCGTAAAATGTCTTTTCTAGTGCAGGAAATTGCACCGTCGTAAAGTTTTTATCCGAAGAAACGAAATAATCATGTTTTAAAAATTTATGTTTATGAAATATTTAGGGTCGCAAAGTGGTTGTTAAAATGCTTCATAGCTGACCGTTTGTAAATGCCTCTCATAAAGTATGTGATGTGTTCCTCATCCGCCACGAAATTTGGCGGGCCCCATAATGAATTTTCTAAATAACAGAAAATCTTTCCCTAAACTGAACGTGTATAGCTTGTGATTTGAGAACCCCTCAGCGTAAGTGCAGGAGAAGGTCTAATTCAAAATTAAAAGGAAAAATTTATAACAACTGTAAGACAACATTTCTTCAAGTGAAAGATTTTAAGAACACATAATTTTTTACAATCGGATTGCAAGGAAGGACGTTCGATGTATGCTTTCTATCAGCCACGCTCGGATTTGGAAGGGCTTCGGAAATAAGAGAAAAAACTCTTGTCAAATAAGTAGTAATTTTTGCTAAATATTATTTTCGCTGGTAGTCAGAAAGCCGATATCCTAACTTGACTGGGCCATACTGGAATCATGCTACGCAGTAAGCAGTCGTTCAATACCACCTATGTAATCCGAACTCACGTTTTGATACTCCGATTACTGTTTCATAAGATTCGGCATCTATTATACACTTGGAAAACAATAAATACCAGAAGGTTGGAAATGCCCATTAAGTATCGGTGTCTGTGCAATGCAAAAAGTAAGTTAGTAAACCGACGTACAAATATAACATTCTTTGCCTGTACTGTAAACAACTATGCCTTTAAATTATAAAATTGAAATTATGGGATATTTTAATCCTCAAATTTCCGTTCTGACACGTGTGCATACTTCTTGCTCTAATTCAATAACTCAATATTGCTAGGGCTGTAAGCCTCTTTACACAAACTCTCCCATTTGAGGCCAGTCAAAAAACGTCTATTGATTTATTATGCGTTTCGGCACATATGCATCATCAGCTAGATCGGTTTCAACTCCACCATTTTGCTTTCTTCCCTGGCGCGCTTCACGCAGTATGTCCGTACACCGAAGGTGCCCAACGAGCAGCAGTTTATGCGGCTCTTTTCCTCCATATGGCGTCTTTCACCTCCAACACTGGTGATCAGTGTCCACGGGTCCTTTGCCACCCTGAAGAAACGCTTCTGCTCCACTCTCAAGAAGGGTCTTTGGAAGACGATGGAGAGCGCTGGTGCGTGCCTTGATCCTTTATTTTTGTCCACTTTCTACCCCTTCCCACGCCCATTTACACTCTCTTGAAATATGACCTTATGAGAAGTTAGTGTTGTCCTCTAGCGGCTGTACAGTAGACACCAAATCTAATTAAGGCAGCATGTAGATGCCTTCATGCTCAGGTCTCGTAGCCGACGCTTTCAGGATATTAAAGTAGTGAATGGTTTCAAAGTGAACTACAGTGGACTGGTCAGCTGCTTAACCGAAATCAAATTTATATCATAGAAACGGAACACGTATATTCCGCCAACTTTACTCCGCTATGACGGGCTGCCATTCGGCTTACTTCGCTTACGATGGGCCCAAGTCATGTGGGCTACATACAGTGAGTGACCGATCTCATGAAATGTTGGCTGAAATTCTGAAATGCGTTTTCGACTAGGAAGGATTACTTAGGCGTGGTTGTAATACTGCATATCTTGCGGCATAATCTTATAATATTTCGGACTTGGCAGGATGTCAGCATTTGAATACACTGCTTTTTAGTCTTCTGTAGAGAACATGCTCGGTAAAAAATGACTTCTTACGAATCATGCATTTTTTCCATTGATTTTCGATGGTCTTACAAATTCAAATATATTTAATAGAAACCATAAACAATAATATGTTTTCTTTCAGTCGTTTGATAGAGGATCACGTCTTCTTAATATTTTATATTCGATGAAGGAGTATAATTAGGTTTCAAATAAGTTTTATAATTCCCCAGATATTTGGAGCCTGATCGGTCGTTGTATTGGCGCTTAGTGATTTCAGTCTGCAAGGTGCATGCTTTCCACGTAAAGAAAATCACATATTCTTTTATGCCATTAAAACGATATCATACAGAGTCCATAAAATTTCGCTATGGATGCGGACTATGTCCTAAATTCCATTATGAGCAGTGGTAAACGTCCAGGTACGATGCTCAATGAATGGAATTGCGCGGTCTTAAAAAATCTCATAATTGGAAACTTTCTAAAACCTAATTATACTCCTTCTTCGAGTATAAAATATTAAGAAGACATGATCCTCTATCAAACGACTGAAAGAAAACATATTATTGTTTATGGTTTCTATTAAATATATTTGAATTTGTAAGACCATCGAAAATCAATGGAAAAAATGCATGATTCGTAAGAAGTCATTTTTTACCGAGCATGTTCTCTACAGAAGACTAAAAAGCAGTGTATTCAAATGCTGACATCCTGCCAAGTCCGAAATATTATAAGATTATGCCGCAAGATATGCAGTATTACAACCACGCCTAAGTAATCCTTCCTAGTCGAAAACGCATTTCAGAATTTCAGCCAACATTTCATGAGATCGGTCACTCACTGTAGGTCTTTGGCAGGCGTGACACTTCACCTGTTCAGAAGAACAGGCCCGTAACAGTTTGGTGTTGGTGGTGATGGTTGTGTTAGTGGTGATCTCAGGTCTCCCGGCGGGCGAGTTTGACCACTTAGGGTGGCAAAAAACAAGGTTGGATTATCTGACGGTTGGGACAGAATTAATGACTTGCTGATTGACCCGACTTAACGTCGATTGGTCTGGTCGCCACCCCACAAGACTCGCCTGCACACAATCTACATGCATGTTTAACACTAGTTTGTATTCAGCCGGGAGTCTAAAATGCAGATTGGTCTCTAAGAGCCACAAAACAGACTTAAAAGTGCAAGTTATGGGATCTATTGGCGAAAACAGTTTTCACGGTGACCATGTTAAGATAAGGCATTGTGAACAGACTCTTCGTCAGGATGATGAATTACGATAGACGTGCTATCTCATTAAAAGTTAGCCGAAACTTTGAAATAAGTTTTCGATTCGATGGAAGTTCTTAAGCAAGCCTTAATGTTGTTTTCTTGCGACATAATCTTAGGGTGTTTCAGTCATACCAGGCTGCCGGCCTTCGAAGAAGCTTTTTCGAACGTCTTCAAAAACTACGCTCTGCATAAATGACTACTTAAGTGGCATGCATTTTGCGATTTACTTTTGATTTTCTTATAAATTCAAATACAATATGTAATAAACAACCATGAAAACTTCTTTATTGCATATATTTGGTAACACATTACGTCCTCTCCAAATTTTCTACGTGTAAAGAGCGTATCTTTTGGTTTAAAGAAGTAACTGATCATGAGATTTTAAGACTGTGAAATGCCCATTCATACAATCTCGCATCAGCCCACTTACTAATGTTACTTATTAAGTATATAATCTGGTCCACATCACTTACACAATTTTATCAGTTCTATAGGACATCTTCTTAACATTATAGAGAAATGTGTGATATTCCCTTGACAGGATATACATAGCATAGGAACTCTGAATGCAGGTATAGGGGTACGCTAGGCGAAAATTATTCGAAAATTGAAAAGTTTTCTTTAAGCATAAAGTTGTTCTCTCTTTAAGAAGAAAGTTTTGAGAAGACGTAAGTTGTCACCAGATGAGTGCAAGAAACAATTTTCGAGCATTTTTTCGTATATAAATTATTGGAATTTACAAAGACATCGGAAATCAGTGGGGAAATGGATTCCACTTAAGTTATCATTTTACAAAGTCTGGTTTTTGCATACGATTGAATTCAAGCTCATTTAAAACCGGCATCCTGATGTGACTGAAGTATTTTAGGATAATGTTGCATGATAATTAACATTATAAGCCTACCTAAGTAATCTTTTCGAATCAAAAACATACTTCGACATTTCATGAAATAGCACATCTGCTGCAGTTATTCTCTCAATTGGCAGTACGGGGAAAGTTTTGAGAGTCTTCAGTGTGACTTGGTGATAATCAAAAACCCGAGGTCTCAGTTTTGTTATCCACAGGTAGCAAATCAAACCTAAAGTGATTGTAGAATCATTCGGGATCAGTATCCGACGTGATGTGAAGCTTCTGTCCTCCAAGCCTGCCACACGCATGCTGATTGTTATAGGTAAACGAACCGATATCCTTACACTTAGACCTTGCCTAGGTGAGAGACGGATCAGAGAGAAACCGGGCGCCTTAAAGTGCCCCATATCTGTTGTCTTGAGGAAACAATGGGCTGGGTGGATCTCGCTTCCGCCTCTTGGTCTCTCCATCCATAGTCTTCCGGGGTCGAGCCAAAGTTCATTTGGTTGGAGATGAGATGAGATGCGGCGACTCATGTGGTATAGGGTACGATATACTTGTTTGATTCATCACCCCTTGTTTTTGTCCGATACAACACTTTTGTTAGTTGCGGTAGCCGGAAACTGTGTAGTCTCACACACCAAATAGATGCAGAACATGAATGAAGGCTAAATTCGAGTTCCAAGTGCCTGCCTAAGTGAAGACGAAGAGGGGTCGAGCACCAGAACATTTTGTTTATTGTCCTGAGCTGTGTGATGACGCTCTTTAAACGGATCCAAACTCACTGAGCAAACTGGAGGACAGAGCACATGAGGCCCGTTATCTCCGCGACCGGTTTGTGCAAAATGGCTTTTTGAGGGCATTCATAAGTCGCTGCCTACGCGGTCGCCCTCAAAGAACTCAAACATCAACACCACCGACGATATGGCATTTTCTGCCATACATCAAGGACCTTTCCGAAGCGACCGAGCGCATTGCCGCGGAGCTAGATGTTGGAATTGCACACCGCCCCAAAGCCACCATGCGCAATAGGGTAATGAAAATTAAAGACCGGTTGAAGCCTGAGGAGCGATCTGGAGCAATGTATCGCATTTCGTGTCAAAACTGCACTTGTAACTACACAGGCCAGAGTGGACGCATGCTCGGATCGTGCATACACTAACATAAGCTGGCTGTGCGACGGGGCGACGCATTATCACAAGTGGCCGTCCATACCTACGAAATGGGTCATGAGTCTAACTTCGCAGCCGCCAAGATAATCGTCATTGCCGGAAACAAAGCAGGCCGAGAATTGATTGGAGCCTAGGCCTCGAATGAGAACTCAGTCAATCGATTTATCGGTTTGGCGCCGGTCTACAAAGCCCTGCGTAGTCACCTCCAGTCTTGCGCTGTCGGACGATGATTGGCCTACGTGCCTTATAACTGTCGCTTGTTCTGTTGCTGCTGCTAGCTCTGACGATGGACTCCTGTACGAGTCTGAAAGCTCAGGACAATAAACGAAGTGTTCCGGTGCTCGACTTCTCTTCTTCTTCACATATGCAGAACGTACTTTGGTTTATTATTCAGATGAAACCTTCAGTACTCTTATTAATCTGCCACTTGTTACAGGATGTGGGCTTGTAAACCCGAGTTTACCACGGACTGATGCGATCTTTACCCGTAGCGATTGTGCGGCCGAAGAAAAAACTGTTAGTTGCCTAGAGTTTGAGTCTACCTGGTATCTGCTATTCTCTTAGGACAGCCTTTTGATCCTCGACTTCGGCCATGAAGCAGCATTGTAGAAAATGTAATTTTAAATTTGGCAGATGTTCCCAGTTACTACTTCTTGCTGAATTCCTAGAGTCTTTCGGCAAACAATGATCCTCTACGTTATTCAAGAGGATTGTGATGAAATGGTGTCCGGTAGGCCAGATGACGAGGACGGAATTTTACCAGATGTCGAGCTGTAGGAGGGAACCATTCCATTCCAATCCCGGTGGACGCCTAACCCTTACTAGTGGTGCAAAGGCCACACTGAGCTGTTTGGTCGTGACAGTGGATCCGGCGATGTTGTTACAGACTTGCCATCGCATCCGCTCTCATCTTTATTATTCCTGATTAGGTTTTGCCACTGAAATACAGGCGGCATAAAGTCAGTGACCAATCTCATAAACTGTAAACCATGGTTATTAAATGTTTCTTCAATTAGGAAGGATTGCTTAGATAGGATTGTAGTAACGTAATCTCATGACATTTCACGCATGCCAAGATGCTAGTTTTCGACCGTGCCTCATTCCTGTCGCCTGAAAAACCGAGCTCGGTAAGAAATGACTACATGTGCAGCATGCGTTTTTTCTGTCGATTTCCGACGCAAATTGTAGAACGCTTACTTAAATTAAAATGCGTCTAAACTCGTTATAAGAGACCTAAGGAAGCACCAAATAGAAGTGGCGCACAAGCCGACGACTTCGCTGCGCAATCGGCCTATACACCCTAAGGATAGGATTGTCTACTTGGGTAAAAAAGAAATGGTTTATAAGATTCCATGCGGCGCTTGTAATGCAGTATATTGTGGTCAAATCGGGAAATCCGCCTTCACACGCCTACATGAACACCAGTTGGCAGTAAAGAGGAAGGATCTATTATCCCAAGTCACCAAGCATACTTTAGAAACTGGACACAAGTTTGCTTGAGATAAAACGTGCATTGTCGGTTCCTTTCCATATAAGAAAGGCCGAGAATTTCTAAAGGCCACTGACTCTGATGATTCACGCATCGATCTTGACGCCACAAATCTCAAAGAAAAATGAAAAAGGCGATACCCAATCAAAAGGTGACGTCAGCCCAGAGCATCGACCCCATTCTCAGCACCAAAAAGCAATATCGATTTTTCGCACATGTCCAAATTTTAACTGCTTTTCACACTTTTTACACGTCTGACGACGACCTGGGGGACCAGCGGCGAAAAATTAACAAAATAAAGCTTGCTCTCATCCCCATAGGTCTCATTTTTCTTTGAAATACATAATTAAATGCGAATATAGCCCGTAGATAAACCAACAAATATATCCTTCCCTGCATTCATTTGGTAGCACGTCACGTCTTCTCTAAATTTCATACTAAAAAAGGTGTCTTTTGGTTTGAAAAAGCGTTTTTCCATTCCCGAATAATTTTAAGGCTTTATCGGCCGTCCCATCTGGGTTCAAGTTTTACAGTCTCCAAGCTGCATACTTTCCGTGTAAGAAAAAGATGCATTCCCTTAAGCCATTTAGATTATACCATATGGGGTTCATAAAAACAGCAACTTATATGGACCATGTTGCATACTGAATGAAGAGCTTAATTAAACAGACAGATGCGATGTTGATTTAAACGGACATTTTACAGTCTAAAAAATCTCATAACCAGAAAACTTTCTGAAAACCGAAAGAGGCCTTTTCTTTTAGCATAAACTTTGAAGAAGACCTGATTTTGTACTAAATGAATTTAAGGAAGAATATTTCTGGGCACTTCTTCTTCAAAATATATTTGGGTTTGTATGGGCATCGGAAATCGACAGAAAAACGGCATCATATTTATGTAGCCATTTTTTGTCGAGTACGGCTTGTTAGATAACCGCACAGAAATGTATTTAAAAGCCAACATCTTGTCATGTCCGGAATATCATGGGATTATGCCGAAGGCAAATCACTATTGCAGTCTCGCTCACACAATCCTTTCTAACAGCAGCGCAAGCCTCCCACATTTGCATATAGGTTAACCCGGATCCCCCAAAATAGTAGTACTTAAAATCTTGTTAAGTATGAAAGATTGCACAAAAATTCGTTAGGTTCTCCTTGCTGTTATGCTAAAATATCTTGCATTTAAGCATTTTATTCTAAACTGTTCTGGGTGCGTTTGCGACAAAATTCAGCAGAATTGTCTATTTTTGCAGCCTGTTGGGTCATCGGCGACGGTTTGGATCGGGGTATCGGAAAGATCGCCGGGGAGGCTGTGAATGAATACATCGAGGCCTACGGCGGCGACCGCATTTTGGCCGTCAGCGTCACCCCCATGAACGTTCTCAAGCATCGAAACCTCTTCAACACTCGAATGGTAAGTTATCGCGGTTAAATTGGTGCAGTTTTTAGGTCACAAATTAATAAGGCAGCAGGCTCTGGTTATTCTGACTAGCGCCCCGGCACAGATGACTGAGAACGGCTAGTAAGCCTGAAAAGTTCACTCCAGTCTCGCTTGTCTCTGTCGTTAATCCCTTCCAGGCTGGCATTTCTGGTGGCTATGCGACTGCTTGTGAGGACTCTTGATTGCTTCCCAATACGCAATGAGACGTATTCGATGCGCGTCTCGGTAGCAGGAATACCTGGGTGGTCGTGTCGCTCCAGAAGCAAATCACCTACTCATGTGGATCCACAGGGTTTCGAAACTCTCCAGAATTCTGATCCCGAGGACGTTCACCGCGGTTTAAAAGGCACGAGGAAGGGAGTTCGTCGACAAACCCCACCGAAACAGTCGCCTCCAGGCCAACAGGATTAGCCCCTGAACCGAAGAGCTGTTTGACAACAAAAAAACTGAATCGCTGTGGTTATCCAGCGTAATGAATCAGTTAATCAACTCTGCAATAACGCGAGTGGTGCCAGTATTCACGCCCACGTCGTTTCCATTGAACAGCTGACTGATCACCACATTTAAAACAGACATAGACAGCAGAATTTATTGGAAACGGTAAATTTCGCGACGGCTTCTCAACTGCAGCCTGTCGTTGCATAACACAGATAACAAGTGAGAAAGGTACAGAGGTTTGAATTTCGACAGAGAAAATCAATGTAAAACAGCAAGGTCAACGTATACAGCGCGTAGACTTATGAATAAAATGGTAACTTCAAAACGCAACATAGGAAAGAAAATGGGAAAGTAAACGTGCCGAGGGATTTCGAAAATTAAAAGGGGGCTCAGGTCTACTAGGGCAAGCTGAGGTTGACCACGTGGTCTACCTGTTTACATAGATTGGGTTTCTCCCGCCGTATGTAGGCTGCCTCCAGATAGCACAATAACCGAGTAGTTCGTGCTCGAACTAATACTCGAAAAGACGTTTTGGGGTCAACCGAATGGCCACTATCAAGAAGATGTTTTGTAATAGAAGACCGTGGAATCTTATTCTCCTGTTTTAGAAGCCATTTAGGCAGGTGCTCAACTGCCCTGGATGCCAGTTGCCTTTGCGTTCGTCCAATGTACTTGCATCCACAAGTGCATGTAAATTCGTAAACAAAATTTGACGTGGCGTGCAATGGCAAGGCATCCTTCGCCCGTGGAACTTCGATAGCCCTAGTAGGGCTGCAGAAGATGAGTTCAGCTGAGTTGTAAGTTTTTTTTTAACAGTGCATCTCAATCGCCGCTTGTGGATGCAAGTAAATTGGGCGAACGCAAGGGCAACTGGCAGCCAGAGCAGATGAGCACCTGCTTAAATGGCTTCTAAATCAGGAGAATAAGATTTCACGGTCTTCTATTACAAAACATCTCCTTGATAGTGGTCATTCGATTGACCCCAAAACGTCTTTTCGAATATAAGTTCGAGCACGAACTACTCGGTTATTGCGCTACCTGGAGGCAGCCTACATACGGCGGGAGAAACCCGACCTGTGTAAACAGTTAGATCACGTGACCAACCTCCGCTTGCTCTGGTAGATCTAAGCCCCTTTTGATTTTCGAAATCCCTCGGCACGTTTACTTTCCCATTTTCTTTCCTATGTTGCGTTTTGAAGTTACCATTTTATTCATAAGTCTACGCGCTGTATACGTTGACCTTGCTGTTTTACATTGATTTTCTCTGTCGAAATTCAAACC